CGGCGAACCAAGTACGATTGGTTGTCGCCTTACGAAGACGTAGCATAAGATTAAGGTTCAATTCCTTTCAAATGATGCAGTCTGAAAGGGTACGACAGTCACACACGCCACACACACACACACACACACACACACACACACACCACACACACACCACCACACACACACACCACACACACACACCACACACACACACACCACACACACACACACCACACACACACACCACACACACACACACACCACACACACCACACACCCCACACACACACCACACACACACACCACACACACACCACACGATTTATGGCTGGTGGTATTATCCTGTGCGTTCGTTTGAGTACAATGTTGATATTATAAAGTTATTGATTGATTTGGTAGTGTTCTTGTTTTTTGACATCACAAAGCCACTTCGATGCACATAGGTATTATTCGAACTCGAATGGATGTGTTCGGCGAACCAAGTACGATTGGTTGTCGCCTTACGAAGACGTAGCATAAGATTAAGGTTCAATTCCTTTCAAATGATGCAGTCTGAAAGGGTACGACAGTCACACACGCACACACACACACACACCACACACACACACCACACACACACCACACACACACACACACACACACACACACACACACACACACACACACACACACACACACACACACACACACACACACACACACACACACACACACACACACCACACACACACACACACAACACACACACACACACCACACACACACACCACACACACACACACACACACACACACCACACACACACACCACACACACACACACACACACACACACACACACACACACACACACACACACACACACACACACACACACACAACACACACACACACACACACACACACACACACACACACACACACACACACACCACACGATTTATGGCTGGTGGTATTATCCTGTGCGTTCGTTTGAGTACAATGTTGATATTATAAAGTTATTGATTGATTTGGTAGTGTTCTTGTTTTTTGACATCACAAAGCCACTTCGATGCACATAGGTATCTGAGTTAGGGTCAGTCGATTTGATTCTAGCAAAGTGTGATTAATGCTGTCTGGAATGTGGGGCGGAGTGTCTTTTTTTGGCCACCCCTGTATGCATCAGTCCGTTTTTTCCTCCATTAGTGGCCCAGACGTAAATTTTCACATGGGGGCGTAAAGAGCAACACTCGCCTGCACAAAGTTCCGCTTGAATTCTACAGACGTTTCCTTGAAATCACGTTCGAAATAGACTTATCACTCTCATTTCATTTCGTAAATAATCACAGCGAAAATAAGAAGGAGAAGTGAAATTGAAGGTCGGACTAGTAGTTCTGTAATCAAAAGTATATAGCTTTATATTTAAATGGTCAACAAATGAACCCAAATCAACAACACCTGTAAAACATGTGGAAATCACAGAGATAATGAAACTAGACTTGAAGAGCACAAACCGTAGCGCTTTCGAAAACTTAAGTGTTATAGTAAAGTTTTACAGTGTCTTTGACCAAAAGAAAGGCAAATGCAATGAAAATTGAAAGGTCCTAGAAAGTCGAAAAGGTCATCATATCAGATCGGCTTTGATCTGTAGTTCTTGATCGATCCCTAGATAACAATCGGACATTATGAAGACGCACAAACACCTTCCTCTGAAAAATGCCAAGTATTTATGCATAGTGTATGTAGGTGGAAACGCATTTGAGCAGAGAATGATTTACAAACCTCTTGTCCGGCGTGACAAAATCCATTCGAACAGTGCGGTCATTCTGAACTGCGCTCACATAACACAGTGATATCATCCTGTCGTTGTCCTTTTCTCCGAGAATCACTATCCATCCGGCTGTTTTCTCTTTAGACCATTGTGTCAGGTAGGCTTCAGTGTTGAACTAAATATGGCATATTGCAGGTATCTCGCTATTTGTTGCAGTTGTGTACGCGAGCAGTAGTAAATTTTACTAATTCTGACAAAGCAACTCAACGGGGAGATGAGGATTATTGCCTAAGCTTGGGGAAGAAGCTCTGAAATGGATGAAGAATTCCGTTGTGCTAAAAAAAAGGATTTTTCGTATATCGTGAAGGTGTCACCTGAGATTACTGTTATCCGCTCAATTACTGCATCAAAACACCATCACACCCATTAGAAGGGCGCATACGATAGAAATCTAACTAAAGGACACATTGCTAAGCAGTTAGGCACGGGGTGCGTGGATGTACAGGGGGAGGGGGCAAAAAACTTCACCCATGGCGCACACCATCAAATTTTCGTCGCACAGGATGCCGTTGTTGATGAATGTTTTACGGCAGAATATTCCTTAGGTGTCCCCCATAAGCAGAAGCAGGCCCTCCTTCACTGCCCCCACCGTCTTCAGAATATGACGTCATCTGCCGTCACCGTCGAGCTCAACGAGGCTTACCGTAATCGCTCCGGCCTGAAGCTGCTACATAATTTCTTCAACCGATTAACTGTTGAATAGCTTCTCAGAGACACTAGCTGTGAATATGCAAGACCGCACTTGGCGAGTATTTTTCTTTTTGCCCCCCCCCCCTGAATTTTGATCCCAATGTCACTGTCAGAAGATTGAAAAATTTCCAACGCCTCACAAGTACCGCAAACACCGTATTAAAGTCAGGCCAGGAATTAACCCCATTCGTACCCGTAACATACCAACAACACCAGCAATTAGGCTGCTCAACAGCGTTTGTTCAATGCTCAATTTTTTTTGAATTCATGGTAAATTCGCAGGAGACTAGCGTATGAATTCTCAGCATCATACGACCAAATTTTACTTTTGAACACATTGACGTGAATGTATGTCATTCGAACATGCTTTGATTTTGCAAGGATTTTCTGAACCACATAGAAATTTCAATTCAATTCTTAGATACTTTCTTTTTACTGACATAAACATTCATAAAAAAGGTCAAGAAGACGTAAATGCAAAACCTTTTTGATGGCAAGAAATGCATGTGTTTGTGATGAAATAACCAAAGTAAAAATATTTTTTAAGTCAACGCAAGCAACGCCCAACCGAAAGCGATTTTCTGCGTCTTATCTGGCCGTTGATAAGGCGCCCATGCCCCTGAAGTCACCTGTTGTCACATTGAGTAGAACCTTACCCAATCCACTATGTCACTTTCACTATCGTCTGCATAGGAATTGCCGGGTACCCCCAGGAGGCCCGTCGCGCGGCAAGAAGGCAAGTCAGCGGACGAGTCGCGCGCGTACTATAGGGATTTCGCGTCAAGTTAAATAGAGTGTCCCATTGCACGTCCTACATCGCACATCACGCGCTGCAACTCGTCCGACGACTCTGCCTTCTTGCCGCGCGACGGGCCTCCTGGGGTACCCGGAATTTCCGTGACCACTTCCTTTAAGGACGAATTCACGCTGAAAAAGCAACCCATTTCAAATTAACCTAGGGATGGTGAGTGGTACACGAAAGAAGGAAAAACCATGAGAAACGGCCCAGAACCCGAGAAATGGGACCCCTTCCTTGCCCGTTGATTTGAGCATTGATGCGACTCTCATCGCTGTGCCCTCTTCAACACTACGCTCTCTCACCTATCTAATCACTCGCCACGTATAGACCTGCGGCGAGTGATCAGATGATCGGTGGGCGTGCACTGGCCCACCGCGCCAAGATTGAGCCTTAATAGGTCGCCGAGGTCAACTCCTTCGGTGCCAATTGCGCTTCAGTCCGCACCCTCAGGAGGTCCGCGGGTCCCTCAACTAGGTGAATTACTCCTTCTTCGACCTTCATTCTAATCGTGAATTCGTCCATTTGAGGTCAGTGCGCTCTCAAAATCGCTCCTCTCCCATTAGCCAAAAGCGCCAAACACGCGGTGTCGTCAAAGGGCAATTTTATTTTAATACAGGCGAGGCATAGTCGCGCCTTATGCGATCGGAAATTCCAGACTTTCTCATTGTCAGTATTAAAGAGAATATGAGTAGCATCACTCACCCGACCTGGTCCAAGCATATCTATGTGAAACTGCAACTTATAAGAGGTATTGCGCTCTAACTGCAACCAGTCCTCATCATCGATCCGAAGCTCTTTCGCATTTCTTGACAAACGAAGTCCACTTATGGAAAGGATGGGCCATCGACATAGAGCTCGAACAACCTGCAAAAATCGAGAAACAAATCCAACTTGTTCTACAAACTTCTAATGAAAATTAAATATCAAATTTGATAGAGGAAGCGTCCAAAATGCGAAAAGGGTCAGCTTATAGCAAACGAAACACCCAATGATGTCCCATTTTTTCCCAGCAGCTTTGGAATTGTCGCATAATATGTACATTTATTCCGAGTGAGAAAAGATGTGTCACAAAGGCAACATAGAAAAAATATCGATCAAAAGGTATTTATTTTACTTTTTGAGAGTTATGAAAGTCAGCTACGCATATTATAAGGCCAACCTGCAGTGATGACCATGAGTGATGTAATTACGAACCTCCTTGATCTCCGTTTCCTCCAAGGTTGTGTTTTCGAACAGTGTTTTCTTAGCCCGTTTTTCTACATCATCTGTTCCTTGCGCATTTTCCACACCAAACTGATGTTGTAAGAGTGGAATGGTGGATCGGTCCCTTTAAAATATCGTTCGAAGTTCGGTATACAGATTAAATTTACGAAAGGAGCACCACATGAACTATAGAAATTTGACAGGGTGACTCGATGAAGAAAGCATGAGAAAACCGGGACCTGTAATTCCAAGTGATACCAGCACTTTTGAGAACATGAGATGAGGCAAGGGAAGGGTTCCACATGAATACTAGGTCATGAACAAAACTTGCGCCCTGGGCCGGACTCAAACCCGCACCTCTCGCTTACTGGGTAACGCTACCAGGACACCGTTTCGCTCTAACTCAGCTTTTCAAGGTATATTTACCGTTGCTTATTGAGCTGGGATAGGGCAAAACGGTCCAAGGTAGCATAGCTTGTAGCGCACATATGCGAGAGAAGCGGTTTCGATTCTCGCCCGGGCAAAAGTTTTTTTTTCATAACAAAGTATTCTTATGGAACACTGGCAATGCGAGCGCCTTGAAAAGAACTTCTAACAAACGAAGTAATAGAAAGGATTAGAGGCACGACAGAAACAAGAGATATTTTTAGAAAGTACCCCGTACAACCAAGCGAGTGTAGTGTCGCGAAAAAGGACAGCGGCTGTAGACTATGGCACGAGACGTCCCTGAACCACGTCATTATGCGTCAAAACCTAGTCGATCCGCCCAGCTAATGGTCGTCCACCTGCTATTAGGATCATTTATCTACCGAACCTCTCCCCGAGGTGCCCCCTTCTTCTCGCCTGTTGTTCTCTCGAAACGGTGCTCATTACACTCATCCACACTTTGAAGCAAGAACGCCCGTATTTCTATAGTTTAGCTCCGCACCGTACCACGTATAATGAGTGGTAGTGTGAGTGAAAGAGCAACCTGCGGAAAGTAGGTCATACGGTTCACGAACCCGATAGTAAGACGATTGTGAAATGTCTCAGCTAATGGTTTGATTTACAGGTTGGACAACTTCACTGGCGCCACTACTCGGCGTGCGCCGTAAAGCTGGTTCTATTCAAGGTGGGCTCTCGCGCGGCCCACTTCGATGCACTGATAGCATTTCATTTCCCTCAGTTGCTAGCTTCTATACACATCTTTCCTCTATTAAAAGGCGTGTTGGAAATAAATAATGACACCCACTGGCAACTTTCGCCCAGTTCAGGACACCCCCATCAACGGCTTTTAGCCGCCTTCCTTCGTCAACCATTTCCCGCTTTTTGCGATCTCTGGACAGCATATGAGATTGGCCTCTGGTCCACGCCCCGCCCACCAATAGCGCTTCACCTTGTAATCTTGGCCAACATTTTTTCAGGCCCCTAGACTGTCTACAAACAAATTTTTGAGTTTTGTAGTAAACTCCGCCTAACTTAGCGCGCCTCGCCCACCAAAGCAATCGGTCCTTTCTTCCTCGCCAACCTCTACCTACTTTTTCCGTCACTGGACTGTCTCCACAAGTTTGGTAGCGAACCCCGCCCACTTTGTTGCACGCCATGCTCACCATCAACATTGGACCTCCCCTCCTTTGACCTATACCTTTTCTCGCCCTCCGAAACTTTTCGGAACAGAATTATGAGAGCTTGTGACAGATCACGCTTCGCCTATTGAGTGTGAGTCTTCGCTCACGCCACGTATGCTGGGAGCCCTTCAAAGATTGCTTACCTTCTGCTTTGGGGTATGTAATGCGCTGAGAAGCGCCGTAGGAAAATCTCAAATTTCAGAAAATGTCCTCAAATTTCGGAAAATCTTCAAAAATAAAAACTGAATACTCAATAAAAAACTTGTGCTGTAACACTTCGTAACATTACCGATTTCATAATAATGCAGACTTATGTGCAAAACGTAAACATAACTAGCATTTTTGTAGAACAATCGCAGCGCGATTCTGCGGCGTTAAAACAGACAATTAACAAACCAAAACCAACCAATAACCGTTATATCTGCTCGAGCTTTCAAGCTTGCGGTTCACTGCCGATATCGACTACCTGGTTATCACTTCAGAGTGTTGATAAGCTATGGTGATTAGCAAAAATAAGCCGAGTAGAAGTGAAAAGGTGCCCTCGTGATGTAATCGAGAGCACTACAGCCCGGAAAGCCAGGGGTGCGGGTTCAGGGAGGAAGGTGGCAAAAGTTTTGCTAATAACTCGGCATTACTTGGGAAACATTCGCAAAGCAACTACGAAGTTAAACCCCTTCTAGCAGCCGATCAAAAACAATAAAATAAATAGTTTTGCTAAATACGATCCCATTCCTCACTGAACTAATACGACCCACCTTACCCTTCGATCCTTATCCCGGAAGACCACCCAGTATCAAAAGGGTAAAGATGACGGTTAAGAGAAGAAATAATGGACGAAACAAAAAGAATCGTGGACGTTGCACGTTTATTCGCTGCACAAACTGGGGGCGCTGTTGTCCAAAGGATAAGGCTATTAAGAAGTTCGTTGTAAGAAATATCGTCGAAGCTGCTGCTGTTCGTGATATTGGAGAAGCTTCTGCATATGCAGTATGCTCTGCCGAAGCTCTACCACAAGCTACACTACTGCGTTGCCTGCGCAATTCACAGCAAAGTCGTGCGTAACAGATCCCGAGATGCTCGAAAGGACCGCAATCCTCCTCCTCGTTTCGGTCAGCGTTCCGCTCAGGCCCGACCAGGAGTTCCTGGTGGACCTCGTCTATGAATGGTTTTCCCTCGTTGTTGTTTTCAGTAAATCTGTTATATATTAGTCTCAATTCTAAACGTTTCAGGATCGTGCTGAGATTCAGAAAATAGAGCACAGAGAAGACGGATCATTGGAAGATTCAGTGAGAAATGATACCCAATTCTCTCCGCGTCGTAGATCTTCAAGTGTGGCAAGCACAACAAAGGATGGTCGTCATGCCATCGTCCTGTGTGACACATCTGTTGGAGTATTGTTATTCGTAGTGCTGTTGATAGCCAGCCATTCAACTGACAGACATCGCGCATAGCCTTGAAAAAGATCGAAAGGATTTTCACGAGAAGGAGAAAAATCAGCAAACCCACAGTGCAGACAAATAGCAAACAAACTGAAAAATAACTCCTAATTGAAATGTACCTGTAATATGCGCACACACTGGTCGAGCACGCTTCTCATATCTGTACGGTAATCAGTTGGAACATCTGTGCGAGAAAAATGCGCCTATAAACTTCGATTAAGTCGTTTAACAATACGTAGAAAAAGGGCCTAGCCATGTGTCCCCCCCCCCTTTACAGCGGATTTTCTTTTTGTACCAGTTTCTTTCAACTACAGCCGCCAAGCCTCCTATGCAGGCGAGTCGTCATCCACTGACGATTCCCTCCAGATGTGAACCTACTGGTTTGCGAAATAACTGCGTGTTCCGTAGCTGGTGTTCTACACGGTAGGGTGCCACCACACCATCACGCCTCAATGGGATGATACCGTCAAAGGTCAAAAAGTTTACGTTCGTGTTGCGCGGCCAGTTTCTCTCAATTTCTTACCAAGGAAGGTCATAAGGTCAACCCGGGTGAAATTTCTACATTGCTGCACGCATCTTGAGACGCTGAGCTCAAATCTGCTTTTATAATCTGCTAAAATCTTCTCCGGAAGGAGTTACGGAGAATTATCTTCGCCGCCCTTACTTTGGATGTCTTGCTTAATCACACAAGGTTCAATTAGAGACGTCACGAAGTACCGAAGTGTTGAGCTTGGGCGTGCTGAGCCCCTTAAGCTTGAGCATTATCACCTATGAGTGCCCATGGTGCCCGTAGTGCAGGTGCTAGGTTTTCCGTGGCAAGTAGGTACGATATTCGTATTAAGGGATCAAACTACCCCTAAAGACGAGTTTTCCGTCAAACCTGAGGTTATAACCTAGTTGAAAAAAAGGAGGAACAGTGATGGTTCACAAAATCCAGCTTTAGTGCTGACCAATCACTGACGACGGGGGAGATGGGAGAGACAGGTTGTATTCAAAACTAATGCCTTGCAAATCCTAGGATGTACAGATAGGCAAGCCACTATTACACTATTTTGTTCTTTCTGAAGTATGTGTAGAAGATTTATTCTATCCCATTACTAGCCCTTTGCAATGGATTGCTGTATAAGGGAGGAAGTAGCTGCCCAAATTTTCGAAGTTAGGTCTAGATTCTAGGTTTCAGATTTGACGAGAACTTTGCCCATACGGGGATTTCGACTCCACGATAACAAATATCACACTTGTTCAGAGCAAAAATTGGTGCCTGCGCTAAAGGCGCTTCGATTACTCAGGAGCGAATGTTACCCAGTTCGTCATTAACCGCCCTTGATTTCTTTGCTTAGGTAGTTTTACGCAAGCGTGTTGAGCCATCGAGTCTTCCTAGTTATGCTACTGAAAACCGCAAAAAGTCCACGCTTGCCGAGGAGAGAATCTCAGGACCTCTTGTCTATGAGTCCAGACCACTGCCGTTGCGCTTTCAAGCTTCATTAGTCCTTTCGGAGAAGAACGTAGGAGATAAGGGAAAGCAGATTCGAGCTCAGCATTCAATGTACTATGAACATATGCATCTTATTTCGATTGGCCAGGTTGGAAACGTAGAGCAATTATCACACTCACTTGGAATAAAAGGTGCGCCTTCGTGTAAGAGGAGTCCATTACGCTTGTGGCAAATCTTATCCGCAGTTTCCGCTGCAACTGACTGAAAAAGAAAGCATACTTTAGTGGTATGTGAAAGAATTCAGTCGAGAACTTTGCCTAACAGCTTAGTTACTCACGTGTTCACAACATCTTCATTGTGCCGCACAGGTATTTCGCCATATTCGGGAACGTGCTGAAAGAACCAAGTAGATAACAAGTGCCCATGATGGACCACAACAATTGAGAAGGCGACAGCGCTTCAAACTACAACGTCAACATCTCACAGAAAGCGTTTTGAGCAGATCTTCAATTGTGTCATCCGGACCAATTTCGTCCAACATAAACTTCATGGTCTCATGACGAAGATAGTAAATGCTAGCAATGCGACCATACGGCGAAGAGCGTAGCTCTCCAGTCTCCTGAAGACCAAAATAAGCAGATAGGAAAGGTAATTTGAAGCAAATCCTACTATATTATAAAGCGCTAACTTTGTGTGTCGGTTTGTGTGTCTGTGTGTGTGTGTGTGTGTGTGTGTGTGTGTGTGTGTGTGTGTGTGTGTGTGTGTGTGTGTGTGTGTGTGTGTGTGTGTGTGTGTGTGTGTGTGTGTGTGTGTGTGTGTGTGTGTGTGTGTGTGTGTGTGTGTGTGTGTGTGTGTGTGTGTGTGTGTGTGTGTGTGTGTGTGTGTGTGTGTGTGTGTGTGTGTGTGTGTGTGTGTGTGTGTGTGTGTGTGTGTGTGTGTGTGTGTGTGTGTGTGTGTGTGTGTGTGTGTGTGTGTGTGTGTGTGTGTGTGTGTGTGTGTGTGTGTGTGTGTGTGTGTGTGTGTGTGTGTGTGTGTGTGTGTGTGTGTGTGTGTGTGTGTGTGTGTGTGTGTGTGTGTGTGTGGTGTGTGTGTGTGTGTGTGTGTGTGTGGTGTGTGTGTGGTGTGTGTGTGTGTGTGTGTGTGTGTGTGGTGTGTGTGTGTGTGTGTGTGTGTGTGTGTGTGTGTGTGTGTGTGTGTGTGTGTGTGTGTGTGTGTGTGTGTGTGTGTGTGTGTGTGTGTGTGTGTGTGTGTGTGTGTGTGTGTGTGTGTGGTGTGTGTGTGTGTGTGTGTGTGTGTGTGTGTGTGTGTGTGTGTGTGTGTGTGTGTGTGTGTGTGTGTGTGTGTGTGTGTGTGTGTGTGTGTGTGTGTGTGTGTGTGTGTGTGTGTGTGTGTGTGTGTGTGTGTGTGTGTGTGTGTGTGTGGTGTGTGTGTGGTGTGTGTGTGTGTGTGTGTGTGTGTGTGTGTGTGTGTGTGTGTGTGTGTGTGTGTGTGTGTGTGTGTGTGTGTGTGTGTGTGTGTGTGTGTGTGTGTGTGTGTGTGTGTGTGTGTGTGTGTGTGTGTGTGTGTGTGTGTGTGTGTGTGTGTGTGTGTGTGTGTGTGTGTGTGTGTGTGTGTGTGTGTGTGTGTGTGTGTGTGTGTGTGTGTGTGTGTGTGTGTGTGTGTGTGTGTGTGTGTGTGTGTGTGTGTGTGTGTGTGTGTGTGTGTGTGTGTGTGTGTGTGTGTGTGTGTGTGTGTGTGTGTATGTATGTGTGTCCGTCCGCAAAATGAAGTGAGTGAGAAGGAAGCTCATGGGATAAACAAACCGCTAACAAATCGGGTAGCTTACAGGATTTGAGATATCAATGTTTTGTAGCAGGATAGTTGTGATAACACTCTTAGGGCTATATAAACACCTGCTTAGCACACTTCCGTTCATTCCACATGGTGCTGCAGTGGCAGCTGGAGGGCAGTGGAGAGAGGAAGGGAGGATGAGGAAGGGAAGCGAAAAATCTACCGTCATATCATGATTGTGTCCCTTCTACTGTATGAAACACCATTGTGTTGCATACGCGTCACTTCCAGGAGGTGTTGGTGTCACAGGAGGAAGGGACCATAGCGGAGGATAGAAAGCTTGCGCAGGAAAGGAAGGTCCCGGCGGTTGACGGGGGACTAATCTGGTATAAATAATGAAAGATACCTCGTCAATGATAAGGCACTTTGAATCCAGCAGATCAGCAACACAATGATCGACTACTCCAACCAAAAATGCGATGAGCGATTTGTCAGAGAGGTCTTCGAGGCCATAGTAGCTGCAACAGATTCACAGGTAATAAAATCAAGGTGTCCAAAAAGGTTTGAGAATATTCCACATTTTGACTTCATTGAATATGAAGTCAAAATAAATATGAATATAAAATGAAGGGCACAGCAGTTCTACCAAATGTGATCCATGGGACACAACATTCACTTTTCGGGAATCTGGCATAGATGGCACAATCACTTTCAAAGAGGAAATTTTGCCTATATACAACTCATCAACACCAGCACCCTCACTATTGTATCAGGTACCCGACATGAGGCCTGTCGCGGGGCAAGAAGGCAGTCAGTGGACGAGTCGCAGCGCGTGATGTGCGATGTAGGACAATGGTACATTCTATTTAACTTGACGCGAAATCACTACAGTACGCGCTGCGACTCGTCCGCTGACACTGCCTTCTTGCCGCGCGACGGGCCTCCTGTCAGGTAGTCTTGATCGGAGGAGTAGTTGCAAATCCAGTCAAAAGGGAGAAAACGATTTTCACATGCATCCATGAGTTCATCAAAAGAAGCGGTGCAGCGCTCAATAGAGACACTTCGTTAACTCCCCCCGTAAGCGAGCATCAAATGGCGATCGAAGTACGTCGGTGGCCCTTCAAAATAAGCGAACGAGAGCTGCGCGAAATTCGCCAATTAAGGGCAAAAGTCGGGCTAAATATGGGCGTTATGGCGACCTAAACGAGTGAGATGGGAAATGGAACGACAGTGGAGAAAAAACAAAAGAAACCGTCGACAAGGCCGAAAACAAAACCCCCTTTCCCACTAGCAGTGAAGGAGGCTGGCTTGGGGAGAGGCACGTCCAAACGAGTTTTCTGGATATGCCAGCCGTTCCATCGGTTGATACGGCAATCAACCTAGCTGATTTCACACGTTATGCCAGCCACGCACCACTTCCGGAGGTGGGCGGGCATCTTTGAAATAAAGCTATCGCTGAAGTAAATCCAACAAAAAAATCAAATGGGTTAAAACTGGATTAAAAGTCACAGCCCAGTCCAGACAACTACTTCGCGAAAAATAAGCTGAACTAATGCGCGTTTCGTTAGACAGTGCATCTCGCTTCTATTTTTCTGCGAAGACTGCATCGACGTCATGGTTGTCGAAGAGGGCACTACCTTGACTGTAAATGTTTAGCACTGACATGGTTTTTTTTTAAATATTTTGAATGAGCGAAACGCCCGCACCCTCCAATCAGTGGACCTACATATATGTGAGAATGAGGCAGAGATGGTGCAAGCAAGGCACTGCTACCACACACATCACCGACTGTTGATTAGCTACTTGCTATCAAGCTGTTTTTTGAAAAAAAAAAACATGTGTCAACATGAGCAGGAAGTTCGCGATAATGTGCGTTGTCTCGAGCAATATAACCATTTGAGGAACGCGCCCTCTAGACATGTCTGGCGTGTGGGACCGCACGCCATACACGCGCTGTCGCCCATCGATGAACCTACGGTCTCATTTTTGCTTGAATGCATGCCCCAGGTATCGAAATGGTGTGGCTCTTGCACACGAATGTGAATGTATCGGTGCCAAGTGGGCCGGCAGTGAAGAAAAAAGGAAAAGAATCCGTCGAAAACGCTCAGGTTGAGGGCTCACTCACCTTCCTAATCGGCTGTGCTAAGGAATGAGAGACTAAGCGCGGAGAGGAGAGTATGAGGCGAGAGAGCGCAACAGATGAGAGGGCGCCAGACAACAGCTGCTGCGAATGGGAACATTGCAGCTGCTGCAGCTTACTTTGCAAAGCCCTAGCGCTCTTGTCGAGTGATTCCGTGCACGGGAGTGCCACATGTGCGATTGTTCCTATGGGGCTCCACTCCACAGACTTGAGGGAATCGCTCCCACACTCTTCTGCCTGGATTGTGCCTTAAGTGTAACAAGACTGAACAACCTGCGGCTTTCTTCAGTAAACCATCGAATTAATCACCCAAACGCCCTGAAGCAGTGGAATATAAGCAAAGCAGTGAAGAAACTAATGAAAAGGTTTCAGAATTCATAATGTTTTGGTCGCAGAGTTAGAGTGGCAGCTACAGAAAACAATACATCTTGCACAAATCTTGCATTCAAAGAGTCAACAAGATCTCAATACAAGTAACTCTTCCTAGCTTCTTTCTTTAGCTAGTGGTGTAGATAATATAAATCGGTAGACGGTTACTTCGCCACGCTGAATTCCAATTTAATGACTCGATGGGAGCCCTAGGTATGGTTAAGTTTCCTAACAAGGCAGTGTTCTGTTGCACCAATCAAAACTCTCATTTTATTGACATTTTCATTTATATTACCCTGTTTTAATATACTTTTTCACAAAACCGAACAATTGCCATGGATGCCGCATCGAATAGGTCCAATCGACTGTATAACACAAGGAACCAAAAGGGGCAACACATGGTACAAGGATTACTGCTTCGGAGCTTGTTCCAAGAAGTATCATCTGCGCTGAGTTCTTATTCTGCTGAGAATGTTGATATTTTTTGTTAATATTAGCATTAGGAGTGATATTGTTTTTAGCTTCTTGAGTTTCCCCCTGGGAGAAGCAATTTCTACATTAATGCGTACATGGCCTTGCTATGGCATTGTGTGCACCTAGTTTTGAAAAGAAAAAACTAAAAATATCAAAGTGGAGGAAAATAAGGAATTAGCCGTGACCCCGTCGTCAAAGGGCTAAGTAGCAGCGAAAAGAAGGGCGTAGAACAAAAGTATGGAGTAACATAGAAAATCATAAGTACACATAGAAGACACCTGCGATTATAAAAATCGAAATTTTCCATATTCCTTAGAAAATCCACGAACCCTATAATTTTCAAAATGAAAAGTCAACCTACTTTGGATTAGCAAACAGTCGTCTATACAAGTAGGTACCAGCAATGTATTCCATAATGCCCTGTTTACTGGTTATGGTCCCGGCATTGATCTCGGCATTCACGTGATTCGCAAGGACAGGAAGAAGGCTGCAAAGAAGAAAATGAGACACGTTACACGATAAAATTGGCAATTCACCTCGACTCAACAGGGAACGGCTCATAGAGGAATCGCTTGTAGAATGTCTTCTTTACGTCTTGCACATATATAACTGCCACGGCACTCGAGTCAAACTGCGGTCTACCAGCTCGGCCCATCATCTGCAGCACGTCTAAAGCGAATTACTGCACTGGTAGAAACAACAGCAGTAGCCAGAACTTACCAGTAACGGGATAGTCCACATATTTAGATGTTTTCCCATCAAAATACTCTGTGCCTTTCACAATTACCAAGTGTGCCGGCATGTTTATACCCCATGCTAGTGTGGCCGTGGCAATCAAAACCTGGATCTTTTTCTCCAGGAAGAGCTGGAATAAAAAGATTCTGTTGACTTGAATGGCTTCAGGACAAGGAAAAGAGGAACAAAACCAGAGACAAAGGCCACACACAAAAACTCTTCAGGGCAGTTCTTAGCAAGAACCCGCTTTTCAATCAAATCGATGGTTCGAGGCATACCTGTTCTACCAGAGCTCTTTCGTGGGAAGATAGACCAGCATGGTGCATCCCTATCCCGAAAGGCAATGTGAGCTTGAGATTTTCGTCCTTCACATGTTGTAGTAACACATCCAGCTGGAAATTGAGAAATCACACATTTACAGGGTTGAGTGAAAATTTTCTGCCTCCTTTCGGCTAATGGCTCTTGAGAGCACTGCCAGTCATATTCAACGACTTCGACGTAGGTTGAAAGTTACAATCGAAATTTCGATATATAACACCTTCAAATTTGTTACTCTATAAAGATAACATGGGAGCATGATATGATATGATATGCAGAGCATTCAGTTTCGAACGCGCCCTACAGAGCATAATGAATGAAACATTAGGCTTGGATCAATCAATTTTTGGGGTGCGAAACGCATTGAAAAGGAGGCATTTGAGTGTGGCCTGTAGTGAAATGTGGTATGGAATGACTGGCGATTGCCAGCCATTGTGAAAGCTAGTGGTTTATCCTCACAGCGAGTCTGTTAGCAACTCCGGTAGAATGAAAAGCTTAGTTAGCTTAGGCGATCTAGGATGTGAAGCGTAAAACGCGTGAACGCGTGACAAGTGGCGCCACGGTCCACATCCTAGATCGGTTTAGGTTCACATCGTCAAGTGCTCATGATTAAATAATGACTCAAGTATGAGTAAAACAATCGAAAACCGCTAAGGTCTACTCGTTATATATGGGTATCTCAAGCGCAAGATCGATTGGTAAACATACATATGGTAGGAAGTGAACCTGTGGTCGCTCAGAACTTTTTTGCGTCATTTGAACTTAATTCTGTAACAAATATACAAAAGTAATTAAATAGAATGTGCAGAAGATTGCGGACTCTCGAATTACATCAAAATGAAAATGACAAAGGAAATCTCGGGAACCGCTCGTAAGAAAAACGGCGGAAAACTACTGCTCAACCCAATATTTGGTAGCACATTCGCTAGAAAATCAAACAAACCTCAGCCATATCAACATGAAGCCACTGACGAGGATCACTTTCTGCCACTAGGTGACTTATGAATGCCATTGCCGTCAAGCGGGTTTGCCTTCTGGACGCCACAAAAACTAGTACAGGTTTCAGCGGAGAGTAAGTGATGATAGCTGCAAAACTCAAAATGAGTATGTGGCGCAAAACTTCGGCGGATACCAAAAGAATGCGGCGAGACCAATAGGAGCTCTGAGAAGATAACCTGCGATTCCGGAATTCATAGATCCGACCGGCTTTTCGGAGAGGAGCCCCCACGACTTATGATCACCTGCACTGCCATGAGTTCGTAAAAGTGAGAGAGAGCTGATTGCTCAATGCTTCGATTTTCAAGCAGTGTGAACGATCCCCACTTGTTTTTCGGTGTTCCTTTTTTGACTCAAGACATCTCACCCCTCAGACTCTTCAGAGGAGCGGAAGAATCGGAACACTACTATCGGAACACCGAGCACGAGTTCCAAAAACAGCAGCTTTTATCGCTGATTAAAACATGGTACCTTTGAAAGCTGGTTTGTTCATGAGCGCCATTCTAGGACAATAATGTTGACCGGGAAAACCTTGAATATGGACCTCGATTGGCACTGGTCGAACAGATGGCCGGAAATTGAAGAGGCCTTCCTAAAGTACATTCATTAGCAAGGATACGTCATTTCCTACCAATGAATCCTTATCCTGGAAGACGGCAAAAGTTAAGATAGTACTGACGTCTCTAATTCCCAACCATTCGGCCACGTCTCCAGCATTTGCAAGGGCTGTTGAAAGTCCAAGAAGTCGCGCAGGAGATTCACGTACGCAAGACCTTCGAGTCAACAACTTCAACCTTGAACGAAACGAATCAGGAAAAGAAATCAATACGTATAGATGATAGTGCAGGATTTATTGTCACAAGTAACCAGAAACCTTGATACAACTATGTAGAAGTCTTATGAAGCTTTCCCCCTTATAACGCAGCTTCAAGAGCGGAACAGCCGTAAGCTAGCTTATAGCCTCGAAGGTGCAATTTTCAAGTGTAAGGCTCTCAGCTAGATTTTGCGAGCAATTTTCTCCGTGAACAAGGAAACAGTGTCCCAAAGCAAAGGAGACGTTGAACTCTCTCGATTAAAAGGGCGCGACAAAGGTACCGACGCACTGCATTGATCTCCACGATTGTTACCATTTTTACTGCTTCAACCATGCGCTGTCGCCAGGGTACGACCTAGTCTCTCCAAAAACACTGGAAATGAGGAACAGTTCTTCAGAACTCGACCGTCATTCCACGGTCAATCTCACAATGGGCGGTTCTCAATTCCAATGTTTTCTAAGTCTTTTTCCTTTTTTTTCCTCACTGGCGGTCATTTTAAAAGTTCTTGCCTCATTTTCGAATGGTATAACCTAACAAATCGATCTCGACCCATTCCAAAAAGTGCCCTTCCTCCTTGAAATGAGTGGATTACCCGCATTTATTCTCTTGCACGACGTATGCGTAGCTCTTTCTTTCCACGTTCAGGCGCTCCTACTTCCCTGGGCCAAAAACCAATCGTACTGGCACACACCAGTTCCCAAGATAACTGCCGAACCTAGTTATGATCGCTTCCAATACAGCTCCACGATCAACGCCCAAGAGATGGATTTCGTCAATGACGATCAGGTTCACTTTCCTTACGTATTCTCGAGTGTTCCAGCTTCTGAAAACCAGGAATAAATTATCGCAACTATACTGACGTGCATAGGCACTTATCAAATGATAAATATGTCCTAAAAACCACTTAATTAATCATTATTTTGAACTTACCTTGTTATACCGTCCCACTTTTCTGGCGTTGTGATCATAATCGGAGCAGCGTTCAACGTGTTGACATCGGGTGTGTAGTCGCCAGACACTTCCACTACTCTGAACCGCTAGCAAAAATTATTTCTTTCCAAAATGCTGCGATCTGGAAAACGAACGGTCCCCACCTATATCCCATCTTTTTCTCGAATTTTTCTCTCCAATCAGACACACGTTCTCTCACCAAAGCCTTCAGTGGAGCAATATAAACGCACTAAAAACAAGTGAATAAAACAATAAAATAAAGGATACAAGCAGACCACATGAGGTCAGCGCCACAGGAAACTCTTGTGATGCAAAGGATGAGCCTCTGCCACTAATTTACCTTTTTACCGGGGTTTTTCTGCAGGAGTCGGAAAATTGCCAGCTCAGCGCAGAGCGTTTTCCCAGAGCCGGTCGGGGCACCAATCAACGCGTTTTCGTCTGTATTATAAAGGCAATGAAAAATCTAAAAGGAGGTGATTCTATCGGTAATAAATGAGTAGTCAACTACACGGAAACCACTTAGTGTAATGAGACTTACTTGAGTCTGAATTGGGTTGAAATAAGCAAAATTGTATATAGATTCAAATGCTTTGTTCCGCAAGGTAGTCACCGGTAACGGATCGAGAGGTAACAGATCTGAAAAAAAAAACTTTTGAGCGTACGATGAAATAGAGGGGTTGTGTGAGCTAACCAAAATCTCAATCACAGATTCCCCGGTCTTGAATTCATGTACTGATTACGTATCCGCTCGCTCTAAGATTCAAAAGATGAATCAATGCCTTGCCTCAAACAAGGCCGTTGGTTTCTCTATTAAAAAGGCACTGACGGCGATTCTGAGGCACTCCAATAATTCTATTTTTTATTGTCCACAAAATGGCTAGTGAGCTACAAGATTGAATAGCAACCAGGAGGGGATTGCTTAGTACACTGCGGTGGATGTGGTGAAATTCTCCAGTTGGATTTTATTATCTCGAGCTATGCCATCATCGAAACGTGTGCTCTTGGTTATCGTCTATAAGGACATACTTCTTGAGTTGGACAGTTGTTGGAATTTCGCCATCAGTCATTACCGTTAATCACAGTAGACCTGGCTAGTTATGTGATGTAGCGAGTTCACCAGTTAAAGCGAGAGATTCACGATAAAGTGTGTGTGTGCAGCGTGGAAGTACATGCACCAGTGGAAGCAGTAGTCAGGGGCCAAGGAAAGCGAAATGTTGGCGTTTTGTGGCCAAAGGTGCGCTAGCTGCAGCGTACTGGGCTTGCCATTCCTTTCTGAGCTCCGCCACGGCCTGTGCTCCCCCCAGCAGCAGCGCCCTTCGATTATCATTTTGATTTATTCCGCTTGAGTGCGTATCCTATAACTTTCCCATGGAACGCGTTACCAATCAAAGCATGGCCTTTGCTGTATGATGGTGGCTATCGGTTAACATGTGCAAACGACCTATTGGTTGCTAGCTCGTCCATTATCGGAGGTCAACGGGCAAAGAAAGGTCCCATTTTGCGCCTTCTTGACGGATTTCTTTGCTTTTTTTCGCCACTGGGGCATTATTCAGCATCCCCACTTCCACCATGAACCCAGTCCAATCGTATCGTAATCCCTTGCTTTAACATTCGAACACCCCCTGCAGACGAATAAAATAACAAAATCTTAAAACTGCTTGTGTTCCAGCACCTTCAGGTCGATCCAGCCACTTGCCCCTCCGCAGGAGTTGACATAGAGTTGTCACTTCGTATTCCCACTAACGACACTAGTTTGTACGGGGGAATTCGTAGACTGCGCTTGTCTCGCATGCTTGTTGGCAGAGTTTCGATCATGTAAGTCTTTGGTACCTTCGTGAGGGAGCGAAGACCTTCACGAATTGTGCACCTGGAGCATCTTACCAGTATCATAGCCGCAGAGCTTGACTCGTTCGGGTCAACAGCGCAATTATTCCTATTTCAATACGGCCTTTCTGAACCGGGTCTTTTTTTTTGAAGGCCGTAGACCCTCAAGCGAAGAGGATCTGACCGTTCCTAAATATAGCCGATGGTCGACCACAGAAAATGCATTGTAGAATAAATGTTGCGTCTGGTCGTCTTTGACCGCACTATGGTTCAGTAGAAAATAAGAAATGCCTGACGAACACGGCTCTCTTCTTTTTTCATTCTAAATTCGAAGAAAACGACTGGTTGTGATTTCGTTATATAACTTACTAGACGTAGCGATCTCTCTACAGCATGCGTGAACATGGATAGATATCTCTGGAGTTTTTGCGCAAGATCCAAGAAAATACGTAGGAACTTCTATGGCAAACTCGTATGTATTAGGTTGGCAAGAAAGTCCTGCGACACTTTTCAATTTTTTGATTTTAATTTTATCTTTTTTGTTTACAACTCCTGACCGGTCTTATATCTACCATGAGTGTCCACCACTTGTCTTCAACGCTCAGAAAATTTCTTGATGCTCCTTTGCCAAAACCCAGCGGAGTGCGGGTCGAGAAAGGAGGCGACCTCACTTTCGAGTTGGAGTTGATCGTCTAATTATTTCGTCATCAAGATGATGATTTAAGGTCCAGGATAGGTGGCAGTCATTTATAGCTCGACCAGGGGAATACGCTAAGAGAGGTAAGAAATCTTGCCGCAGCTCCAGAATTTCTTACCGGGCTCATTTCGGATCATGGTGATTCGCAATGTCATGAAAGAAAGAAATATTGTCGCGGTACGAGGGCTCCTGACGAGCTGCCTCGGCCAGCTTCTGGAGTTCCACAGCCTAGACCTCCAGTCACACAATGGTGCCCATAACGAAGAATTTGTAGGTGGGCTTCCGTAAAAGTCCTACCTGTAATGGAGTGGGAACGCTGCTAGCTTCTTATAAAAATATCAAAAGATTCGGAAGCGCTGGTAAAGGTGAAACACGTTGTAGCGGTGAACGACATGCCTATTGAAGCTATTGCAGATAGTGTTGGTCTTTGACACGAATCCATAGTTATGTAGACATTTGTGCTAGGCAGTGACTCGGTAGTATGGATTTACCAGTTGTCGAGGTTTTTCAAATTTTCTTGGATAACTACTTACTGCAGCACTTATATCCACCTCGTGGATTAAAGCCTCGAGAATATCAACCATATGT